GTCTGGTGTCCTCTCCGTCTTTGTAGTGTGGGACCAGGTGGCTGCCTGTCTGTAGCAGGGTGATTTGGTGTCTTCCGTGAGACTCGGGCCCTCGGTAGGGTGTGCACAGACCTGGCTGTCTGCAGTGGGCTGATTTGGCATGTTCTGTGCAACTCAGGACCTTGGTAGGGCATGGGCAGACCTGCCTGTCTGCAGCGGGGCGATTCAGCGTCTTCCACGCTGCTTGGGACCTTGGTGTAGATCTCTTTTTTAATAAGTTTGGTTTATATCAGGAAATAAATAGTGCTACTTCTTTGTTAAAGGCAGAGGTACTTGTGAAAGAAATTCACTTAATTGGTTAATTTGAAATGAGTTAGTGAAAATGTGCAAGTGAATCAGTTATGCATCTGTGTTTTACATTTTATTTATTATATTCTTAAAAATGTAGAACTCTTATAATTTCCAAAAATTTCAAGGATGATACATGGAGAATAAATTGACCTTATACTTTCTAGATATAATAGAGATGATAAATATTGGATTTTTAGCATAGGTATAAACTCAGTTAAGTCACCTATTATTGAAATATCTTCCTCCCTGTACACAAATCTCCACTAGCTGGGAAGCTCTGTAATGAAACCAATATCCCTTTGTGGCAGGGATGGCTCATTGTCCACTTGTTCCCATTCTCTCCTTCCTCCCTTTGGTCTATGGTCTCATCCCTTATTGTTAGCAAGGCCCAACTACAGACTTACTCTCTTGGTTTTTCTTATGAGTTGGTGTGGCCATATGACTACATTATCACTAGTGGAATATAAGCAGAAACGATGTGGACAATTTCCACAAAACTTCCAGAAAAAAGAAATCATTTGCTCTTCACTTCTTTATGCACAAAACATGGATGTGATAGTGAGTCAGCTTTGACCATGAGATGAAGACTAGTTCCATGGGAAAGGCAGATCCGCAAGAGGGAAGAACCTTGAGTCCCCAGATAACCTTGCAGAGCTGAATTCCCTGCTCATTCTGGACTAACTGCCTACCATTTGAGAGAAATGTTTGGGAGAAATGTTGATTTTTAAAAAAGCCACTATATTTGAGAGTCTCTATTTTGATAGGATTTATCTGGGATTCTAGCTAATAAAAAACCTTTTATTTATATGCAGTGCGAAATCCACTTTTTTTCCACTTAGAAGTTATCACCACCTTTTTCTTGGGAGGTGGGGTGGGCAAAGCTGGAATAACAGGACAAATTTTTAGGGAAAAAAAGAGGTCAGTATTGCACTATGAGAATTTAGAAGTTTGATTTCCTCACTGAAAGAAGATAGCATATTTATGTGTTTTTTCCCCAGGGATTTAATGTCATTTACATTAACGACAGTGTGAAACATTGTAGGAGTCTGTAGGGACACAAGACACAGTCGCTGTTCTCAAGGAGTTCACAATCTACTGGAGAAAACAGGACAAATATACAAATACACTAGAAGGTAGAATATATGTAATAATAAAATACAAGTGGGGTTCTCTGTAGAATAGAGCTGCAGGAGGGAACTTTTACAGGGATAGGAGAGGAAGGAGGACCTCAGAAAGACTTTACAGAAAAGACTTCATTTGAGCTACATGTTGAAGGATTGATGGAAGATGGAGAGTTTTGGGGCTCCAATTTCTGAAACAATGAGAACAAATGGTAGGGTGGCCTAGAAAGTACAGGTATTATTCAGAATTTTCTGAGGTACGAGGTGGATGAGAAGAAATGATGAGAAATAATTCTGGAAAGGCAGTTTGAGGCCACATAGTGAAGGTGCCTTGAGTATTATACTACTGAGGAAAGAATAGATTTTGAATATTGGAATTTAAAATTATCAGTGCACTTTAATAGAGTGGCTCTCAAATTTTGTATATAACAGAATCTTCAGAAAGGCTTGTTAAAACAAATCAATGGGCTTTATTCAGAATTTTTTGATTAAGTCTTGAATGAGACCCTAGATTTGGAATTTTTTTACAAGTTTTTAGGAAATGCTAAGCCTTCTGGTCTGGAGATGCCATTCTGAAAACCTCACACTGCTATAGGAAGCTATTTCTGACAGGTGTGTGGGAAAGGAGGTGGAGAAGTCCAGAATCAGGTGGATCCAATAAGAAGAGGACCAAATTATTGAAGAAGGTGGCATAAACAAAAGTTTCTAAAGTGGCAAATAGACAAGACTTTAAGACTATCTGGATGTGGGAAGCCTGCATGTGACAGAGAATCACATTTGTCTAATGTGACCAATAAAAAAAATCACAGTATTTAGGGGGAGTGGGAGGGTAGGGGAAAGGGAAGAAGGGAAAAGAAAAAAATATGAGAAAAGGAAAAGCATGTAAATAAAGTCTTTGTAAATAGGGAAGGGTGGAGGGGGTGAAGGGAGGGCAGGGGAATGGGGAAAAAATAAGAACCAAGATCTACCATGTAAAGGTACAAGATCCTAAGGATGAATGTAGCTGTATTGTATACCTAGAATGTACCAATAAACTAAATGGGAAAAAAAGCATTCTAATTCTGTTGAGACCAAGGAGAAAAAAATGGAAGAAGGAGAAGCCTTGTGTTTAGGAAAATGACCATGAGTTAGTATAGAATGGCTGTGTTTGAGATACCAGTGGACTATTATAGGGAATGTTACCAGACATAATTCACAGGTTTGGGGGGGTGTGGAGAGAGAGAGATCACAATTAAAGTCATAAGTGTAGATGCCAGAGGCATGGAATTAATTAATAAAGTGACAGAGACTGGGATGGAATATAGAGATAGAAGAAGTGATTGTTGAGGTCAAAGCCCCCAAATGAAGGAAGAGAAGCAAAGAATGAGGAGGTTAGGAGATAGTTGGAGAATAAGGAGAACAAAATATCCCAGAAGGCATGGACTTAAACAAGAAAAGGATGGTCAGCTCTTTTAACTGATAAGCAAATGAGAGGTAGTAGGGAAGGCCACTGTAATTGCCTGTTGGCAAGTTACCGATGACTTTTGGGAGATCAGACTGGGGAGGACTGGGAAGTTGTACTTAGAGGGCAAAAGATGAAAAACCAATGGAAGGTAAGAAGTGAAGGCAGATGAATGGAATAACGATCAATGAAACTTAGGTGAGAGACTTAGGGAGAGAGGAGGCAGGAGCTTAATGGGAAGTACGGCTAGAAAAAGTTGAAATTAGTGTCCAAAACTTGTGAGCAAAGTAATATGAGATTAAAGAAGTCAGGGTGGGATAAAAGCAAGCTTGCAGAAAAGCCAAGAGGGCACAGATTTAAGGGATAAATTCATGGAGGTGGAGAGGAGGCAAATGAATGTCTTCTCAGTAAAGAAAGAAGAATGAAGAGATGGGGGAGGCTCTGGGTGAGAGGTGAGGGGCAGAGGCTTAGGACAGTCATCTACTTAGGAGTATAGAAGAATTTCCACATTTCAGTTCTCCTGTTAGCATTCTTGAGTTTGTAGTGGTGAGATCCTCTATGGATTTGAACAGTCACTCGAGGTCAGGGCAGGCTGTCAGTCCACTCTCTGTGGCCTCAGGTCCCACTGTTATAGACAGCTAAGTTAGGTAGAAATATTATAGGGAGTCAGACAAGGCTAGGCCCTTGAGAGAGTTAGGACAAAGGTAAAACATATTGCAAAGGTGGTTAGAGACACATCCATATCCATTGGAGACCAGGCCTCAAGATAAAGACAAAAAGACCAGGCCTTCATACTTCCCTAAAGGACAAGATAAATGGTAAAATGTGGCCTAATGAAGTCTAGATAGACAGCAGTAACCTTGATGGGTAACCAAGACCTCCGGACCCATCATTTCCTAGAAAAAGTCTGTTCTTTCCATGCACACTTGTTAAATGACTTGTTCCCCCATTGGATCACTACTCCCTAAGTGATTATACTTGTAACCTTATTGGTTGATCATAGCTTTAACCCACATTGTACCCACATGGTTTTGCTCTATAAAACTTCCCTGTAAAGTGAGGTCCTCACCACCCATTCAGGACTGCTCCTGCCTCTCAGGAATTATCTTCTCAATAAATATTTTCTACTCATCCTCCATTGTTCCTAGAATTCATTCTTTGGTGTTAGGGAACACAAACTCAGTGTATCAGACATCTAACAGGTTGGGAATTATAATATTTCTCTTATATCATTTGGAGGTCCTACTTCATCTCCTATATCATCCCCATATCACCACCTGCATTTGCCTGGTCCCAGGTTGCAGTCTCACATGGAAGCAACAGGAATATCAGGAGGCACCATCCATACTCATTTCCTGATAGGTCATCTTTTCTGTGAACAGTTTTTCAGCTTTTAATTTTTTTTCAAATATGTGACTAGTTATTTAATGAGTAACAATCTGTCTTTTATCTCAATAAAATTCTTCATTTGATTACTCTATTAAGCTTCTTAGAAAAGCATCCCAAATGTTAAATTCTCACCTGAATCCTGCCAGAGTGACTGTATACAGGAAGCTTAGCTGGGATGTGTTTTGAATAGGAGGAGACCCAATGTGTCTGTCAGCAATGTAAAGACAAAAGTAGATTTAAATGATTTCTTATTTGGTTATGTTTCATATTCATACCAAAAGAATTTGGAAAGAGCTAGTGCATTCATTACAGGTTCTTTTTAGAGAATTAGGAAGTTTATTTAATTGTGAGCTGAAAAGAACATGGCAACTATACTATTTGCCTGGAAAGAGTGGGCTATGCAGTCACAGTGCTAGAGTAGAAGATTTAAGTTTAGGTCTGCAAGCAGAGATGATAGGATGTCACTTTCTATTCTTTTTGAAGCCATACAGTTACTAGTGGAGTATGTGTACATATAGAGCTATAACCTCAAATTTAATGCCACATGAGGGCAAGTTATCAGATATTTGATTTATAAGAAATAAGAAATTCTGTACATAAAGATTTTGGGGGGCATTATTTAATTTCAGGGTTAACTGAAATAGCTAGAAAAACATTAAAAGTTTTTACTATTTAACTTTATTATTATTCTATGTAACTTCTGTTTTTGTATGATAATATTTATTTGAAATATGTACCACAGATAAGACCAGAGGTAGAAAACAGTACACCAAATAACAAGCCTCAAACAAAATAGGACAAAACCAAGAAATAAATGAATCTCACGTACTTACAAACTCTCCTGAACCAAGTATGTTCAAGAATTAATAAGTTGCATCCCTTACCCCCATGTACTCCAGAGGCTCTGGTAAAAGTCATGCATTTTGGTTTTTTACAATCTAGGTATGCTCTCGGCATCTAATGAGCTTTTTAAAAGCCAGTTTAAAGTCTTCATTAAAACTTGTGTACAGCAGTGGGTTGATCAGAGAATTAACATAACCGAGCCATGTCAAAAAATCACCCACTTCGGAGGACACAGTGTAAATGCTCAGACCTACAATCAACTCTTTGATAAAAAACGGAAGCCAAGACAAAATGAATGCACCCAGAATCAGTCCGAGGATGCGTGCTGCCTTGCGTTCCCTGGTACTGGAGATTTGCTGGCGTTCTCCAGGTTGATCGAGGTCATTGTCAAAGGGAGGGATCCGGATGGAAGTATGGATCTTTTCAAACTCTGTAGTGGGATCTGAGGTGGAGAAGTCAGACACGCAGAACGTCTGTGTAAGTTTACAACTCGCAAAAGAATTCTGGCTATCTGTACTTCTGTTGCTTAAATGCCGGCTCGATCCCCTTTTCTGGTAAAGACTCTTGGCTGCGTGGTAAATCCGGTAATAGAGAATCAGGATCAAAGTCAAAGGGATATAAAATGCTCCAAGTGTGGAGTAAATGGTGTAGATGACATGGTCATGCTGGATCGTACACTGGCTGGGGGGCGGGCTGACTTGGCGGTGGCTCCTCCAGAACAGAGGGGGCATGGAGATGAAAATAGAGATAGTCCACACGGTGAGGATCATCAGGCCAGCTCTCCTGGCTGTTCTTTTCCTCGCATATTCAATAGCTTTGGTGATGGCCCAGTACCTGTCCAGTGCGATCACACAGAGATGGAGGATGGAGCAGGTGCAGCAGGTCATATCCACACTCAGCCACACCTCACAGATGAAGTACCCCAGTCTCCAGTTGTCCATGACAATGTACATGACGCTCAGGGGCATGACGAGCACCGCCACTAGGAGGTCAGTCACGGCCAGGGAGCAGATCAGGTAGTTGGCAGGCTGGTGGAGCTTCCTGGTGGTGCAGATGGCCATGATGACAGCAGAGTTCAATAACATGGTTAGTGTGGTGATTATCACCAGAGTCATGCAAATAAGCATCTTCTCAGTGACAGTCTTGGGTTTTACAGCCACACTGGCTTCCGTGGTATAGTTCGTGAGGTTCATGTTTCTCTGGTTCCAATCTACACTGTGGAGAAGCTGTTGGTTATTTCCCTTCTGTGGGAAGCTGTGTGATCTTGACTGTCTCTCATTTATAAGAAGGCTATAATTTCTTCATCTACATAGTCTCTTGTGTTTCATTTTCTGTTGGTAAAGGGAAAGGCCACAGCATTTCTTCTGAATGGAGAGTTCCTGAAAAATATTATGGTAGTGGTTAATGAATGAAAAAGCCACACTTTCTTGGAAAACATGATAGTATTTTGGCATTCATAAAATACTATGCATTTTAGATATACTTTCTTTTTTCTCTCTGCAGTTTGAGTTTATCTTCACATTATTTCTTTTTTTATTCATTAAGTTTATTGGTGCATTTTAGGTATACAATATGGTGAGATTCATCATTGGGATCTTGTATCTTTACGCAATTCATCTTGGTTCTTATTTTTTCCCCATTCCCCTGCCCTCCCTTCAACACCTCCACCCCTCCCTATTTACAAAGACTTTGTTTCCATTTTTTCCTTTTCTCATATTTATTCCTTTTCCTTCTTTCTTTTCCCCAACCCCTCCCACTTCCCCTTCCCCTTCCCCTTCAGACTTCTTTTCCTTATTTCACACTATCTATTACACATTTTGATCCTCATTTACACTTTCAGTTTCTCACACGAGAGAAACTATTCAGTATTTATACATTCACATTATTTGTTTAAGGATAAGTTTTTTGAGTTAAGGTCCCAAACTCCTTCTGATGAACATATCACCAAATTTTAAGTCTATTTTGCCACTTGAGTTAATTTTTTATTTATATTTATTCTTTATATATACTTATATATAAAAAGGCCTTTTATATTAGAAAACATATGTTCACTGTATATGCCTTTAAAAGTTCTTGTGCCATTACATTAAAGAGAAAAAATTATATTGCTTATCAGTGAGCAGGCTTCAAACCAGATTTTAAATTTTCACAGTGAATATTCAAATCCAAAGGTATATTTGTATCACAAAGGGATTGTACAGCTTCATCTAATTACTTCTGACATTTACATATCCCACTGTGCATTTCTTTGGAGAAAAAAGAGAAAAAAGCATATAATAGCACTTTGATATTGGTGGCAAATTGTTCTTGGTATGATACAATAAATCAACTGTGAAACAGCACCATCACCAAGCTCAATTATTGGGGCTGTGGTGTAGCTCAGTTGTCATGTGCTTGCCTTGCATGTGTAAGGTCATGTGTTGGATTCCCAGTACTGTAAAAAGAAACAAACAAACCAACCAACCTGAATTCTTCCTGAGAAGGAGGATGGAGAAAAGATAGTCAGATATGATCAATGCATACTGCATGCAAGTGTGGAATCATATTGAATTTCATAAACATGTATGATTAATATGTATTAAGATAAAATAATTACAAAAATACATATATGATAAAATTTTAAAATGTTTAGTGTCAGTTAACATTTGTGTTGCATGTATGTATGTATGTATTTATCTATCTCCCAGAGAGCTGTGATAAAGCTGGTCAGTTGGTTGAGGCAGTGACATTTGTAAAGAAGATAATAACCAAATATAGATGTACATTTATGAGAACCAGGCAATCAAAATCTGCATGAGAATATTAGAAGCTAATGGTTGCTGGAAAGAAAGCTGATCACATTCTCTGATTTGACTCCATGAGATTAGGTTCAATAAGACTTCAAATAAAAACTGGGTATTTTAACCATTTTAAGAAGTGATATAGATTGATGTGCTTTGGTTTAACAGATACAATAACTTTAGCTAAGGATGAGGGCAGGAGCAGCAAGGTATGTGTCAAACAGGCAGTGAGAGTCTTCAAATGGATTTGTGACTAGAAGTCAGGAAGCAGGAATAAAAATCTCCAGTCTGTGGATAAGATACAACCATGGGTATGATTTCTCCTGTTCAACAAGCAAAAACCAAGAGGAGAGGGATATGGGAGTCATTTATCTTTAAGGTACAGAAAATAAAGTAATGATGATTTCATTAAAGACCATAAATGGGACGATTGTTTTAGGACATTCTATATTTTTCTGTGAATAAATGATATTATTTCTGCCTGACTTTTCCATTATCTTTCAGTATTTCTTGGATGTACCTACTTCTGGATGTTTCTTTAATTTTTCCATGGAGCTCATTCTACCAACAATATCCTCTTTCTTATAGACTGAATGTTTTCTTCTACTATGTTATCATTGAAAGAGGATGGGAGGCTCTCTAAGATGTACCTGCTAGATGAGAGGAGCAGCTTGAAGCTACGCGGTGGCCGTCCCAGGCCCCGCCCACGCCACGGTGAGGTCTGCTTAGCCTCGCGGGCACCTTTCAAG